GCAGCAGCAGCGGTGGCAGTGGCGTGGTGGCACGAATGGTACCACTTGTCGCTACTAGAGCCGCTAGTGTCTCTCGCTTCTCGCCATGTTGAAATATAATCAAGCATCATCACTATCACTATCAATGCCAGGTTGCCTGCCCGGAAGCGCCCGGTGCTGTCCTCGAGTGTTACTGATCTTTGGGAGGGAGCCTGAGCTGGAACTTTCTTGCTGTTGCCCTGGGCATGGGTTCAGTTTGGCTAGCTACGGTCAACAGTTTAAGTCGTAGGGTTCGTGATGCCCTAAGCCCTAAACCCTATAAACCCTAAACCCTAAATCCTATAAACCCTTAACCCTAAACCCTATATACCCTCAACCCTAAACCCTCATAGTGGTTTGAGTTCCAGAAGTTGTGGGCAAAACAGCCCACCAGGGCAGCTGGACAGACATGTGGAGTTTCCGAAATCGGCGGACTGCCCTGTACAGCTGCTTAGAGGTCACTCAGTAGCCTGTCTCACTACTTCGAATCCCTATAGACCACGAACCCCAAATCCTTAACCCCTAACCCTGAATCCTAGATCCTGTTTCAAACTAAAAACTAGCACTGAATCCTAGATCCTGTTTTTAATTAAAAACTAACCCTGAATCCCAGAGCCTTTTTTTTAAACTAACCCTGAAATTCCAGATCCGATATCGGAAGCCTCAGAAGACCACCCGAAGGGTGATTTGTTCTCAATCGGCAGGTTGGGGCATGGGGCCGCCATCAAGCCTGCCCTCCCAAAAGGTCTTCCGCACGGTCTAGGGTTTAGGGTTTAGGGTCTAGGGTTTAGAGATGTTTAGGGTAGGGTTTAAAGGGCATTGAGATGTGGGGTTTAGGGTTTAGGGATGTTTAGGGTTTAAATATCCTGCGGCAAGGCTGTGGTCCCCGATTTGTAGAAGGCGCTTCCTTCCTCCTCTCGCGCTCCTGGCCGTTTTGTCGGCGAACTACGCAAACCAATGTTTTCAGGTGGTCTAGGCCTAAGCTCATGCCAAAACGCGCTTCCTCTTAGGTCGGGGCAGCACCCGCAGTAGGTGAGCGCCCTATGCCTCAGGCTTAGGGCTACCACTACGACTTTTCGTTGCTCTATACTTGTGTTAGCATAAAGCAACTTTGCGACAAGGGTTCTCCTGATACCACTGCCATGGCTGATTCTGTATTGCCCACTGTTGTTGTGGAAGACCTTAGGCATTCCTGGCCGGTCTCTGGCCACCTTAGCGAAGACTGTTGCACAGGCCCAGCGATGTGAACGAAGGTGCATTTTACGATGCAGAGATGATAGTAGTAGTAGTAGTAGTA